TAGGTTACTGATACCTCTGTTACCCAAGTGGTAGTGGGAAGACTGTATTGTCTAGGCCCACCTGAAATATACAGCCTTTCTGCTACCTCCCTCTCATCTCCACAGGCCACTCTGGAGGCACACCTGACAGAAGGCATAGATCTGTGGGGCTAGACTCACTGGAGAACAGTTCAAACACACAGCCAGCATTATATCCAAATGGAGCCGGCAGCCTGTCTCCTCCTGAGCCCGGCAGCGAGTGCCATTGTGCTTACATGGGCAATGCATTAAAACCACCACCTACAAGCTGATTTTAAAGCCTTCAATAATGTCTAGACAGGTCAGAATTCTCTCCCAAATGGCAAAGCCACTTATGAAAGTCAGGTTTTCTTTTTCTTTTTCTTTTTTTTTTTCCATAATGACTTGACCAACGGACTCTCTGAGATCCAATCCTCACCTAGTTCCTACGGGGATTTCCTGTGTAAAGTGTTATGTCACACATATTTCCCCACTTAGGGATTTCAACAATCTTCATGGGTAATGAAGATCTACCCAGGAAAGGAGCCAAGTGTCAGGTTGTATCTCAGTCAGTTACTAAGTTAAACTTCAAAAGTGGAGTATAGGTCAACCTCAAAAGGGAGGTGACTGCTGAGTGCACCCCCCTCAGATTTTCTGGATTTCTGGGTGATTTCATCTGTTGGACAGAGTCCGTGATGTGGGGAACAGAGATCTCCACCCCTCCTTCGCCCCTTCTCTATCCTCTCCCCACATCTAGCACCATCCCTATGTTTTCAGGGCCAAGGAAGCTTCTAGAAACACCTTCGGGTAATAAGAGTGGCCAAGCCCTGACCTATCTGGTTGGGGAGGGCAGCCTTTTGCAATTAGGGGCAAATGGAGCTTTAATTGAACTGGAGAGTAAGAATTAAACACTATCAGTTGGCTCAGGCCCCCTCCCAGCCAACTCACTCATAATCCTAACCATTGTGTTATTCAAGGATGGTACTTCTACACTGCAACAAGTTGGTTGTTTTGCTTTGTTTTGTTTTGCTTCTTAAGGAAACGAAAAGATAACATTTGAAAGGAAGGGGGCAGAGAGGAATAGAGAAAGAGGTCACTTCATAGAACACTAAGTCAGCCAAGGAAAAGGCCATTACTGCCAAGGTGGGTGTTAGGCAACACAGCACTTCCTCTGCCTCTAGCCACTGTGATCTGCCTGGGGTTTCAGACCAGAAGGTGTCACAGTCCATCTAAGACAGCACAAAGCCAAGCCACCACCCCGATGGGACACAGGGTCTGATACCACAAACAAACCTCAGCCAAGGACACTAGCCCTCTCAAGCTACTCAGTGTGCAGGAGAGAACATGGCTTGGCCTGTAGACGTCATCAAGGAATACCTGTGGAGTCTACTATTTGCACACCCCTAAGGCAGACAGCCTGCTCATGGAGCCAAGGTTGCCCCATGACATCCTGACTCAGTTTTTCTCCTGTGTCCACAGGCAGGCTGGGAGGGGCCCATTCCTTAAGCAAATGTGGACAGTCCCATGTTTAAAATGAGGAAGGAGGCACGGAGAACGTTAGGAGGGAAGAAGATTAAACAACAAGTTCAGTCATGTTCCCCAGACACTGGAAGGGTGTGTAAGGTAGTAAGTGTGTAAGTGTGTGAGGAACTTGCTGAGAGGAGATGCCAGAACTCACACACAGTGTCTGTGCAACTTTGACGTTTTGGCCCACATCAGAATCGTGTGTCTAGCCTGGACTAACAGCGATTTCCCCAAGCTTGTGATTTAGAAGATGGGGGTAGATTCTAAGATTTGAGATACCTAACAACTTCTCTAGCAACCACACTCTGAGAAGCCAGTACATGTAGGAATTCAATCTGGTGCTTTGTCTACCTGGGACGCCCTGCTTTGACTTATCTCTCACTGGGAATTCACTACTAGAAGAGCAGACACTGGCCTCCTTGGCAACCTCAGAAACAGGCCCCACTGTACTTCTATCACAAGCCCCAGCCCAAATTTGATGCTCGGACCGTTTGCTGGCTGGCTATAGAGGGATGCTCTCATCAGCCAACTACCATGGAAAGCCAGAAGCTGGGAGCCCATGGACAAAGTGGTGGCAATGTGGATGGCCCAAGCAGGCAAACAACATAGGCAGCAAGTGGCAAATGACGATATGGGATGCATTTAGAGGGTATTTAGATAAAAGAGACAATTCCTTTTCAATATACATAATAGGCAAGTTCTTTACTCATGCTACACCCCAAGGCCCAGACACACATTTGTGAAGAGGCAACTTCCCCTAAATAAGAAAACTCTGAAAAGGAATAAAAGAGAGACCTGAGTAGTCACCATGGAGCATCTCCCCAAACACAGGTCAAGTCAAGTGGGCCGAACAGGGCACAGGAAGCAGAAAGGGACATAGAGGGATATTATCCCTTAGGCCTGAGGGAGATCCACTAACAGTTCAGCACAAGACGTAAGGCCAATGGCACCAAGCTTTGTCCACTCACTCATCAGCAGAATGATATGAATGCCACCGCAGACATGCCCTGTGGTGGTATCTTGCCTGAACAAATAAAGCCTCCAGACCTCTATGGTTAGCTAGTGGCAAGCTCCATTCTCTGGCCCCCAGACAGGCTTTATTTGTTCAAACAAGATATCACCACAATGCCCCTTTTAAAGAAGTACAGTGGTTTGTGGGCAAATAGACAAAATAGTCTCAAGAGTGAACAGTTTGTGGAGCAGTTTCAGCACCAGCTCCTGACATCCCACCTACAGAAGCCAGCCTACTAGCTGGCTGGAGAAGCAAGTGGAGTTTTTGCACACAGTCGTCAGCAACCGAGCATGTGCTGTGGAACGAGGAGGCATCTGCTTATGGGCAAGCTGGTTAGTGTCAACTAACATGAAGATCCCAAGTCCTGCCCCAGAAACTCACCCTTTCATATTCGCCAATTACATGGCCTGGAGCAAACCACTTAACCTTCCTGACCCTGAAAAATAAGGCAAACACCACTAGCCTCCATGACTCATAGAGGTGAGAAGACAGGGAAGCCACAAGCTTGCTGTGTGGGAAAACATCACTCAAGGCTGAGCCCCCTAAGTCTACCTTGAGGTTCCATACACACGCACACAAACATACACACACATACATGCACACACGCACACACACACACACACACACACACACACACACACACATACACACACAGAGAGAGAGAGAAAGAGAGAGAGAGAGAGAGAGAGAGAGGGGGAGAGAGAGAGAAAGGTGGAGAGGAGGCTGGCTCACTTCCCTGGCCAGTCACCACAAAAGAGCAACAATGGAGGCCTCCTCCTCCGTTTACTTTTCTATTAAAATCAACAAGCAACAAAGCAGCAGATTAATATCTCTCTAATTACTAAGTTGTCAATCAAAAGGAAAAAGGTCCACAATTTAGTTATCGAGCCTACACCTCAAGCTGACAGCGAGAGCAAGGACCCCATGCCCATAAAGTGGGACACCTCCCATGGCTGTCCTCTCTCTACTGCCTCCCACACCCCTGCCAAGATACTAGCTTTCTCTCACACACTCTACCTCATGGCCTCACTCAGCACCATGCTTCTCAAATTTGCACTTAGTGTGCCAGAGAGACTGGAGCTGCTGTGCACACACACACTGGGTGGGGACAAGGAGCATGGGTGAGTGATTGGAAGGGAAAGTTCAACACAAAGCTGTCCCAAGCTGTCCCCCCACACACACACCTGGCCATCCTAGGAGGGAAAGCTTCCTTTGGGATCTAGGAAGCTCTGACTATCGTAACCCCATTGTATGGATGAGGACATTAGTTTCAGGGAGGTGAAGGTTCTTGGTGGAAAGTGGCAGAGCCTGGCCAGGACTCTACAGCCCACCCTGGCTGACGGTGCTCTCCTGCTTTCTACCTTCCCTACATCCTCACCATCCTGCAGCATGGCTCTCATCCAGCCTCCCATTTGCACAATGAACTTTCCAGAAGTTCTCCTACAGAAGGCTGGGACATAGAGCAGGCACCAAATGGATAGAACCAGAACCGAGGCCGGGTGGCACTCCTTTGACTGGGGCAACTACATAGGAAATCCCTAATCCTCAAGGCCACCCTGCAAGGTAGAAACTGTCTCCCCAACCCATACAGAAGGAAAGAGGCTGCGGGGGGGGGGTGGCAGGGAGCTGGCTGGTGGAGCAGCTACACAAAAGGACGGAGAGAATTTGATTTTGATGTTTATCTGCAGAATCCAAAACCTACCTTCCCACGGCCAAAAACTACCTTCTGTTCAGGAGACCAGGGAGCAAAAGGCCTTGAAGATGCGAAGACCTGAGCCTGGTACCCTACAAGCCTATCGAGCCAGGTCAGAGACAAAATGGGAAGCATGATGCACCATCCACACAGCTGAGTCAGCAGGAAGGGGGCTGTACCTGGTGCTCTTAGCCACAGGTTAGCCAGGTTAGCCATTAGCTGAGCAAGAGGAGGGCTAAATGAGAATGAACTCATTCTAAGATGTTTGTGCCTAGCACCATGGGGCACTGAACTGGGCTCTGGGATGTGGTGAAGGAAGCTACACAGTACCCCTCCAGCCCAGAGCTCAGCTAGAGTATGATGCATCCACAGAGGCCATGGCAGACAGTGGTCCCAGGCCATTCACTGAGGCGTGTGAAGGGCTGGAACAGCTGTCACCTAGCACCTGCTGGCTTTCCTGGGTGCAGAGCAGCTGTAACAGGCACCGAAAGAGGAACAAGAAAGTGCTGAGGGCAAAGAAAGCCACTCCCCAACCAAAGCTGGCTAAATTAGGGCAAAACCAACCCCCCTAGGGTGTAAAAGGAAATCTAGCCTATCACAGTCATAAATCATTGGGTTTTTTGTTTGTTTGTTCGTTTGTTTCTGCATTGTAGTTTTTTCTGCCTCTGCCTTTTTCCTCTTTGCAGCATCACTGCTGTGTCTGGGGCTTGCGGGGGGGGGGGGGGGGGGAGTACCTGCTGCTGCCAACACATGTGTCCTCACTGGAAACTGATACTCCCACAGAGAGCTGCTAGGCTTTGCCATTTGCTCTCATCCCCTGAAACCCCACCTTCCACAATGAAACCACAAAAGTCCAATTCTCCAAAAGGCCCCTGACCTGAGCATGAGGCTACAAGTTCAAACCCCGGTACTGCCCCCACCCCCAAAAAAGTTAGTTCTGTGGCCATATCATGGCCCCCCACCTCCCCAGCTCCCCAACGCTGACAAGGAAACACCTTGGTATGTCCACAGCACTGATGCTTAGCATACCAGCCAGGAAACTTTAAAGTCTGAAAATGTCACGAGACCTCAGGAGAATCATGTTGGAAGTCGATCAAAGGGCCCAGAAAGGTTGAAGCACATCCGAGGCACACTCAGACACTGCCCCCAGCCTAAGGACCTATGCTTGAGCTGGAACAGACCACCAGTGCCCCACGCAGGAAAACACAGTGTATTTTATATAGCAACAACTTATGAATGAACAGAGACCACCTACCTTCTCAATTCAGAGGAAGAAAGCAGCATGCCTGTGTGACACAGTGCAGCCTGGGATATAAATAGCTTCTACAAAGGTTAGCAGAATGCAGACAAGAAATCTACAGTGGGTTACCAAGGGAAACCAGAGGCTCAGTGCCCCATCTTACCTGTTGCAGATCATATCTAGAAAGAGCCTCAAGACGCCTCTCACACTCCACTCCCTCAAGGATGGAATGTGGGGCCAAGGGAACCTGAGGCCTGGGGGGGGGGAGGGGAGGAGTGCCCATTTCCTGTACCCTACCTCTGCACAAACTGAAGTAGGAAAATTATTTTTTTTTCCTGACTCACATATCTCTTTCCCATCAGCACACTTGCCTGCCGTTTCCTCTCTGGGAAAAGTCTACCTGGGAAGGTGTGGTGAACAAGCCCTCCCTAAAGACAGGAGGCACGGGATGTGTTGGCGGCACCTTTGCTTGCCCTACCTCCTCCCATTATGCTAGTTCCTGGGTGCTGTCCCTCCTGTCTGCTGCCTTCAGTGGCTGTTCCCTTTGTTGGAGGAAGTGCCTCCCTGGGTACCCAGAGAGCTCCAGGGGTGGTGATGGTGGTAGTGGTGATGGGGAACTAGCTACAGCTGCTGGGTTATAGCAAGTGTGAAGCAAATCCCATTTGTCATTGAAAGCTACCCCAGGGGACACTGGAGTAAGGATATTTATAGCTCTCATGTATGCAACCCTGAACTCAGATGCTTAAGTTGCCAGATATAGCAATGGTGTACCTAAAGCATACATGTGATCTTGGATACAGAGACATTGGCCAGATCTACAACTTCGGGCATCCCAAACTCACCCCACCACGTACCATCCCTCCTGAGTGTCCATACTCTGAGACCTGGATAAACTGGATTTCAGTGCTTCCCTCCTTGGAGCATCAAGTTCTGCCTTCCTGCCAAGGATTAAGAGATCAGGCCTGGAGCCCGGAGCTGGAGTGCAGCCTGCCAAGCAGATCCCTGCTGGCTCGTTTGGGCAGAGGGAAAGCTCCCCACTTCCTTTCATTCCCAAGAGTAGCAGCAGTGGGGACAACCTCACCTTCTAATCCCTTCCAGAGCAGGCAGAGGGCTAGTGCAGAGCCTATACTGAAGGCCCAAAGCCAGGCACAAAAGGAGAAGTCCCCCCTCCCCCGGAGACCAGAGACAGGCAGAAAGCCAGACCTCCGTGCAACGCCCCCCAGGGTAGAGGAAGGTGCCTCTGTCAACTTCCACTCCAAGACACTTGGCAGTCAAAATGGTAAGCTATCCGAGGACCACCCTGGGGCTCAGCCAAGAAGGGGAAGGAGTTCCCTTCAGGACCAACGCTTGCAAGTGGGAGAGCATTGAGAGATGTCCTACACAAGGCTCATGATGGGGACTGATGTCCAACACACTCTTGTACTCTCATTCTCTCTCTCTGCTAATTGCAGCAAAGGTCAAGTAGACAGCAACCTGCTCAAGAAGGCCAAAGATCATCACCTAACCACCCTCCCCGGACTCGAAGATTCCTAATATGTCAACTGGGCAAATGATGCTTGTGGCTTTGGACTTGACTGGGTCATCAAGAAGACCAAGAGTAAAAAAGTGGACTAGAGGTATGCCAACCTGAGGGAGGAGGCATGGCTGCATTTCTTCAAGTAGGTATGCCAAGCACCCACACACATGAGCAAACAGTTTGGAGAGAAGGCAAGTGCTTCCCAGTGCTACGATCCTCCTCATCCCTCTGTCTCTGAAAAAAACAAAAAACCAACAAAAACCTACACTTGCCCCTTGCTTCTCAATGGCAACACAGAATCTGGAAGGATTTCTCTGTCTCCACACATCTGCTAATACTTCTAGGATTGGGCCCACTAGTAGAATCTATCAACTTTAGGTATAATACATATGTCCTCTCCCACTTGTGATCCCCCCATTACACTGCCCACAGAAGAGCACAGTAATTTTTTGTAATACCGTTTGCACGCCTACTATATACAAAGAACTGTGGATGCCAACTGTTTTTGCAAAGGTTAATGAATTTAAGGCAGCCTACAGCTCTGTGGTGTAGATGCTAATTGTCTACATTTTACTATTACAGAGAAAGTAAATAACTCAGCTAGAACTGCACACAAGGTAGAGATCTGAACTCAAGACGTTCTGGTCCCTATAGACTTTCCTCTGTTGTCTATCTGGCTGAAAATCCTTGACAGGTAAGTATGTGTATGTATGTCTATGTATTTATTTACCACTATTGGTATCATAAGAGGAAACATATCTATTCATAGAGAAATGAAGTCTTAACAATCAACACCGAAATCTATGTAAGATGCACCAGCAATCATTCGATACAGACTCTTACATACATTCACACCAGCAGCGGTGGACCCCTAATTTAAATGTTTTCTTTTGTGCACCCCAGATGCTTAGCATGATACAACAGCCCTACTACATTGTCTGATAATGGCTAAATTTGCTTATTACCAATGGAATGAATTATCGATAACTTTAACCCCAAATCAAAAGTATCAGTGGGTGAAAACCCAGCAGCGTCTACCATCAGGTGGCACGGAACCCTCCTCACCCCCACCCTGTCTACCACCACCAAGAGAATGACTAGGAAACTTCAGGTACTTTATGCACACTAACATCTGGCCAATGTAGGGGAGGATATCTGCACTTCCCAGGACCTCGAATTGGGGTGATGCGAGGGTCTTTATCTCAGCAGCAAACTCTTGTGTGCTGCATGACCTGGTATGTACATACATGGGCATATGGTTAATTGTAACTGGGTCTCTGCATAAAGACTTCTGACATTCACATGTCATGTTAAAAAAAAAAGTGCATGGTTAAAACTCCATCACTGCAACAAAGAAATGAGGTAGTATGAAAAGTTAAAATTAGAACCCCCCCAACTCCCTATCTTCAACTGTTGTTAACATCTTCTCTATCAACAGAACAATTTAAAAGTTGGTGGTATCTAAGTGAGTTCCACTCCTTGCCTTCCGTAATTGATGGGTGAGGGCAATGAAAGAATAGCCAAACTAGGCTATTCCCAAATCTGAGAATCAATCCTGGCTGCACTGGCCTGAACACCTTTGATGACAGGGAATGTCCTCTGGCCCTTTGAATCGCCAGTACTTCTCAGATGTTCCAATAACAGTTTAGAAATCAGGACCACTTCAAGCCCCCCACCCCCCAAAAAAACGCTCAACCCACAAGATATTTCTAGACGTCAATATAGAATCTAAGAGGTACAATTCCAAAAGGCAAATCTAAACCAACAACACATATTTGGTATATAGTATCTGTAGTGGTCTTTCTCTTCTTTTTCTTCTTTTTCTTTTCCTTTCTTTCTTCCTTCCTTCTTTCTTTCTTTCTTTCTTTCTTTCTTTCTTTCTTTCTTTCTTTCTTTCTTTCTTCTTAAGCCACCCCCACCCCGCTTGGAAAATAAAGAAGAAACTGAATGACTGATCTTCCCCGAGAGCCACCGCAGCCCTTCAGTGGCTCACATCTCCTCAGGGTCCTTAAGTCTGCACAACACAGAAACTTCTTCCCTAGACTTCTGGCCAAATAGCAGAGCTGAATTCTGCAAACTTCATCACCTTAGCCCCAGAGGAAAGAAAGTGGGTCTGGCGAGTCGGTAGTGCTGGGTCAGGGAGAGAGAAAAAAACGCCTTAATCCTTCAGGAGAACAGCCCGGCCCTTCTGGTTTGCAAACACTAGCCAGAGGCTGAAGGAAGAAGCCTTTCTTTCTTTTCTGCACAATAATCTCTCCAGAGAAAACACAGTCACCTGGCCCTCCAGGGGGAAGAAAGACTCATGCTGAACTCTTAACCCTAGCCACTCTGCACCCCAGGGAGTGGCTGAGGGTTGTTGTTTCTTTCCTTTTTCCCTGTGGTTCTCTGGTAACACCACAAATTACGTTTTCAGGGACTGGAGTCCCAGAGTGCAATGATGTTGTAATAAACATAACGAGAACCAAATGCCTTCCCATCATGTTAGATGATGCCATTTCCCACCAATCAGGCTCCTCGGGCAGGCAGACCACTCACCAATGAGGGACCAGACAGAGGCTGTGAGGGGGGAGACCTGGTCACCAGCAACTAAAAATAAGAGCGCTTCACCATTGGCCGCCGCCACTTTGCAACAGGAGTTGGGACCCACACACCAGGCAACGCACATAACGACCCATACAGTCAAAAACTTTAACATCCCGGGGCTTCGCACTGGTCTGCATTTTCTTTTTGGTTTGTTTCCTTAATTTGCTGACTTAAGAAAAGACCTGATCCCGAAGGAGCCCCTGGAAGACACACCCTCCCACCTAGACACCTCAGCTTCCGAAGGCCCTTCGAAGTCACACATAATTGGCGAAAGGTGGGGGTAAAGGAACCGGCCAGAGGCCAAGGCACTTACCTGTCCAGCTGTGTCATAGAGTCCCAGCAGGTACTGCTTGCCCCCGACGGTGACGCTGACTGCAAGGACAGAAGTGGGGGTGGGGAGAGAAGCTCACAATGACCTGAGGTCGAGCAATTTCGTTACCCACGGACCCCCCCTTCCCCAAACACGGGGAGGCGTGTGGGTGATCCCTGGGAATGAACACCACCTTTTTAACGTTCAGCTCGCTGCCAAAGTGGCATGAGATCTAGGCGAAATGTGCACCCCTGCTATCCACCCCTTTTCTCCCAAGTCCCATAGCCACGTCTACCCTAGTATCCCCAGATGTCTCCCCAACAGGGGCTTGGGGCAGTAAGGGAAGCAACCGCGGGA